TGGGGTAGTCATCAGACGATGGCAAATTTATTGCAGAAATCGACACATGCTCCCTACTAGATATATAAGATGTATGAATGGGTTCTGTGGGCTTATTTAGCTTGCTAAATGTAGTCTGTAGCCGATGTTTAGGGAATTGTCTATGACTTTCAGCTGAAAGGAAATTCAGTGGCGGCTGGCTAGCAATCGTTTTGTGTAACGGATGAGCATAATAATACCAACAACGTCGCTGTATTGTTTGAAAAGATATAGGGGTTGAATATAATTTGCTTTCCGCTTGAGGCCAATTAGGCCTACCTCTAGGAGCCTGGTCTGTTATATTTGACTTTCCCTTGGAAAGATGGTCCCTATCATATCAAAGGGCTTTCATGCTATGGATGCAGTATTTAATTTATTTACTTCGGTTTCCCCTTTCTTATGTTCAACTGGTCGATGTTGGCTAACAGGGTGGCCAGCACATGCTATGTAGGGTTTCCGTTGCTTCGAAACCTCCGGTGCTTTAGTTTTCTTAGTGAAAATAAGTTTGTCATGACACCTAGAGAACTCGCTAGCTACAATCGACTGGTACTTTACAGTGGATGAAATGTCAGCTAGGGGAGAAAGTGATTTATGAGGAGATGAGTGGAACATGAGTGGGAAGGGTCTTGCTGTTTTATGGCTCTTGACGTTTCTGGCAGTGTGCACACGATGTATTTCAACGTTCTGTTCTGTTGATTAATATACGTTCACCATTTCAGTGTCGGTATCAGTGTCTTTATATAATACTTGACTGATGCTTGCCAGTGCCTGCTTTAATCAGGGGTGCATGTGGTCTCAGGTATATCACTAGACGAAATAACGTGTGGAACGTAATCTGCAGTTGTCCTGTTAGGGTTATCAGAACTCAGTGTTCCTGAGTGGCATGGTGCAATCCTAATGTTAGTATAGGGTTCAGAAGAGCCCATTATCCTACCAGATTTCAGAAAATTCCTAGCTTCTTCAATAGACCTCAACTTTAAAAGCACCAAACATTAGTGATTTGCAGATTTCTTACGAAGATGCGAAGCCTGACAGTCTGTTAACAACATATTATAAGCCTTTACACATGAACTTTTAAGTTTGGCAATAGACTCGCAGTCTGGAATGTTATAGGCCAAGACATTATGTGAGAACATAACCCTCTTAACAGCTTCTTCAGCCACATAGCCAATTATGCGCTCGAATTTGATAAGTGATCCTAGACATATGTTTAATGGGGGGTCGCACAGTTGCGTGAGGTGCATAATGCCATCAAAACTGCTCTGTAGGTCTGCTATTGATTTCTGAAATGTTGGTAAATGATTTTGCTACGATCCGCATTATCCATCATTTCCTCAATTATATCAGATTCCATAACTTTTGGGTGTGTCTGGTGTCCAGAATGTGGGGTAGTCTACGGAACTGAGGCCTTCAGATGGCTGACGAGTACACGTGTGACAGAATAAACCATTACGGAATCTAGAATTTTCACATTTTCCGGAAAAAAGTCATGAAGATATAAAAAACGTTTGTTGTGTTATCAGAGTGTCTAATCTTGTTTTACTCATTCCCTTCTATGTTTTATCCAAAACTGATGCGTTTGTTTGAGCATTATTATCAGTGTTTGACTGTTTTCATGAATCCCTCGCCAAATGTAAATGATACTGCACGGCCCCCACCTCAAGGTCCTGTTTACTAAGAGGTAATGTACAATAATTGGCTAATAGTCACACCTGTAATTAGTGATGGATTTTCAGGTACACGAGTATGCATGCACACATAAGGTCTCCACAAATTTTATTTTCTATCTCAAGTTTATATCTCCACTAGCTTTATTCCCTTCTTACCAGTTCCAGTCTTTTAATATACAGTAAATGAATGAACTGCGCTGCATTAGGAGAAGCGTTTGGCATGCTAATGCAGGGAAAGGAATGAAGCATTGAGTCCGAAACTTTTGAATTGGCAGAAGGAAGACACTGAGTACTTCATGATTTGTCGACAAGTTGTTGCGGGGTTTCACCCTTAAGACCCACATATGCCTTCTGCATTGATAGGAAACGTTATCGAGTTTGGACCAATAGTTGGCTTGAGGGAAAATAGATTACTGTGTTCTAGCTATTAAATAACTCAGATGCCGTTAATTTCTGTTGATATCACTTCCATCTCAGGCTCCTGTAATTGTGAAAGAAGAAGAAAGATTTGTCACATTTCAAATAATTTAGGTAGTCACATGGTTTGTGACTACCTTCACTTGTATCGCTATTGAATTCTGAGGATGCTATATTCCAAAAATGTAAGATGTTAACTTGTGCAAGTTAGAAAATACTAACTATTAATTTAAGGATAATCGGGTCTTTTGTTGCAAATGCAATATGTAGGTGCTACGTTCATCATAGGACACAACCCACATTGGACACAGCATTCTCATTTTTTGTACATGAGGGACGCCAGTTTACAGTCATCATCAATATAATAAAATACACATAAGATTATAAAGCATATTTAATTTTTTATTTTTTATTTTGATTTACAGCTTGATTCCACACCGTATTTTCAGTACAAGTATGGAACTTTCAGCATGGATATCGGTAGCCCAAATTCAGGCTGACCATAGATATCGGGTGTGCGCCGGCAGGGGATCGAACCCCGGACCATGCGCATGGTCGGCGAGAGTCCTAACCACTGTGCCACCGACGCACACAATAATTATAATATAATATATATTTATTCCTATCTATGTAGGTCACACCAGTCGCACAGGCATGGGTAAGTATTTTCAAATTACATAATTTTGGTAATGGCAATTCTATTGTCAGCTAGAAGGACGTCGAAAAAAGGTAGATAGGAGAAGAATCAAATGGGAAAAGAAACGGTTAAACCAATAAAAAATCAGATATATGACGGAATAGATATTATAGTAGGAATTATGTGAAGTGGGATAGCCGTTAATTTACAAGGAGCATCTATTCCTGTTAAAGTTATGCACCTAACGGGAAAGATGTGACTCGCTTCCACTTGAGGATATGCTGTTGAACAGTGAAAACGCATTCATTAAACCTGGATAATGTCAGTAATATGTCGTTTCACGTTAACAGTAGTTTACTTGCACGGAATTACCTGTTTTAAATAGGCTTCGGCCTAGCTTTGCATTATCGCTAACACTACAAGTACCAACTTGTTGATCTTCAGCCCTTAAAGGAGAGGAAATACAGAAATTCCTCCTACATTTTGAGAATTTCTGTGTCTACGGCACTCCAGAACAGTTCACAGAAAATGTCTACAAAGGTTTCTGTGCAGGGTTTCATGTAGGATTTGCCAGAATTAGGAGGATTTGTATGATATGATCCTTTTAATTTACGCAGTATATGGATTCGACCTTTTACACATTAACCCGTTGGCTTTAAAGAGTGATTGTTTAGTTTGGGACAGAGCTCTTTCGTTATATTTTTCAGTGGTCCATTAAAGATAGAAATGACGTTCTAATCAGTTGGAATGGTAGCGATCTACTATCTCTCAGTGACTTTTAAGTGGCACGCTCCCCCTCTTCGGTGAGATTTTTTACGGGCATGCATATGTTCTTATCGTCACGATTGATTAGAGCATTCATACCGTTTTGCTTCAATGTGTGAAGAACACAGAGATTTCTGATGTATGCGCCTTGGAGCATCATATCATATCTGATTTAGAGTAGTTAACTCTGGTTGGTGCGAATGATAGTGTGTTAGGACTATAATGTGTATATAGTTAAAATTATTCACCCATTAATATGCCATATGTAAGAATAGGTAACATACGCAAGACGAATTCTCGCTTAATTTCCCTTGATCCGTTTCTCTGACAGAGATATTTTCCTGGTACTTCCCTAACTGGTGACAGTGGGAGACTCACGTACGTTTCCCAGGGTGACGATCTCAAAGAGACTGGATCTTCATCACACATCACGTAGTTCCCACCATCTCAGATCCCAGTGAAGCGGCTGTGGGATTTTGTGCCACTTTGACGAAAATGAGTGCTAGGGCCACTCTCCAGCCATTTCCCTGTTCCTTCTTTCCCTTTGGTATCTACTCGATTGTTCACCTTTCCCTGTGTCACAACTGGAATTCAACGGAGAGTTGCACACTCTTTATGAAAAAGATCTGCAACTACATTGAACTTCACGTTCGCCTCTGGTAGCAACTTATGTTTCACTCAGAATTTTCTTTGACACAGTAACATTTCTAGGGCGTTTCGTTTGATAATAACACAAAACTATGCTTCGCCGCACGTAGCCATAGTGGGAAGACTGCTCTGAAGTCTACGATAGCTTTCTCAAATAGACACAACACTAGACACAGTCACATCCGCCTATGTGGGTTCCTAGTTTACTAACACATTTCTGGGTAATTCCGGAGGAAACCGCCGGTTTTTAGTTCTGAAGCCAAGTGAATAGCCACAGAAGTGATTTGCTGGGTTTTATTCCTGTCTTGATACCCATCAGACAGATCACAGATTGTTGTAAGGGACTCATTTTCTCCATTCCTAGGGCTTGAGATTAAGAGATCTTAGAATTCTCCAGAAGATTTTAGCGTTGCTTTTCGTCGCGGTATTTAAATTATGGGCACGCTGGAGACTGCTTAACAACAAAGTTATACTGATTATGCTATTATTTAAAAGCCTTATAATACTGAACATGAAGTGTTACATAAAAATTTCAGATGATAAATCTCCTTTAAAAATAAAGCATGTATGCTTTGCAATGAGGTTGAAAGCCTGGAAATGGCTGATGGATTATTCCTTCGGCATTCTGACAGAAGAAACTTAATTTTCTTAGTAATATTGCTCAACATATAATGTACCACAGCATCTATTCATGATTTAGTTTGTCATGTACGTAGATACTGCATACCGGAGGTTTTGATTGCTTTTGAAATATAAATTGAATTTAAGTTGCTTATTTTAGTTGTTAGAAGCAACTAGAAATAAGTGTTAGGTATTTGTTTAACCAGGTCAATACTCACTTTATGGATACTCTTCGGGCGTTCTTTTGAGTTTCCCGGGGTCCAAAGTGAAAATTTAGTAAGTCTTTTCTTACGTCAAATAGAGAGGGTTTCCGAAGTTTTTATGGATTTAGAGTGATTCTTAATATTTTTTAACGCGTGAGAATTATTATAGTTACTGCCACTGGTTAGCAGGAAGTGTGTTCACACTAAACATTCGGACCTGGATCCGAAGCTCATTGAGCGTACAATGTTAATGCCAATTGAGGTATACTCTTGCCAAAATGTTACTAGATAGAAGTTTGATTTATCAAAGGTCTTCTGAACTGTCTTTATATGCGAATTTAAACAATTAACACAGTGTTGTATTTCATCTTGATTTTCATGGATGTTATAAGTGTCATTATGAATATTTGCATTATTCAGCGGAAAATGCTGCATTAGTATGATTTCTCTTGAATTCACTGTAGTGTGTGAATTTAACTAGCGGGAATAATGTGCGTTATCTGGTATCAAACAATTGTTAAATATTTAATTAATTAGTTCTTCAGATGATTGGATAGTCGGAGGTGGTTTTAGGAACGTATTCTTGAAAATGTCTGTGTGAAACAGTTGCGAAGTCATTGGAAATGAGGTGTACGTTATAACAGACTTATTTGCAAACGTTGTATTTAGCTAATTCTAAGTAGCACTATTTAACATCCCGCAGTATTAGCGTGCATGTAGTTATTGCAGTAAATACATCACACTATTTATTAGAGTGGAGGACGCAACGGTGAAATTTTATTACTTATGCTGTTTCGCGAATAGTACAATACATGTAGTTCAACAATTTGAAAATATAGTTTGATTTCATCTATTTGAGAGTAAACAGCGGTGACTATTGGAAAAACGAAAAGGTTCGCATCGAAAGTGAAAAAATAAGATGCTTAGCTGGAGGTAAATCTTCCTCTGCTGTTTAAAAGAAAATCTGTCACAGGTACTATATTCATCCTAAAATTGTGTTTTGCATGTAAAACATCTACTTTTAGCGGTTTGTAATTTAACCTGAAAAATGTTAGGCGATATTTTAAATGGCTCTCGAAGACTTGTGTCATCTTATTTACAAATATAATCTTATAAATGTTTATTTCCCTGCTGTTTAGGTTTTTAAAATGCTACATATCATTCCGTAGAGTAAAAACTTAATTCAAGTATCATTATTTGGTGTTTAGCGTGCTTTAAATTTACATGTAAACCAATAACCATGTACTCGTTAAAACATTTTTCTTAAAATAACAAAGCTACTGTATTACTCACTTGTTAGCTTTCCTAGGAACACAACTATCTTAACTGTGAAAGGTAATTAGTTGTAATGTCGCTTATCAAAAACATGGAATTATTGATGCAAACAATTGTAGAATTGCCAGCAGTTTGAGTTATGATTATATTGCATATAAAACAACCTTAAAATATCCAGTTTGTTAACGATATTTGGTATAAGGAAATGTTTTGGTTAAACACAGATTAATCCAGGAATTACGAATATTTTGTAAGTACCAAGCATCAAAATCCAGCTCTTTTATTGTCTCTAAGTTACTAACTGTGCCTCCTTGGCTTGCAACCACTTAGTCACTGGTTTGAAACCCATATCACATACCGAGGTGTGGTAAGCCGTGGTAGTGTCATTAGCCTTCAGACGGAAGAGTAGCATTTGTTCTGAGTTTAGGATAGTGAATAGTTGGTTTTTGAGTATTTGTCATATGGTGGTTTACTAATTTCCCACTATCTTTTCGGTAAATTAAGAAAAGAAAGTTAAGGATATATTCAATAATGTGTAATTTCAAAAATGATGCATTTAAACATAACTGTCTTCAGTACTGATGCAGTGACTGATTTTGAAGACTGACCGTTTGCTAGTAAGATATCCCAAAGGCTTTCATATGAATTCATTATAGGTTACCAATGAAAGTAAATATATTACAGCTACAAGCGAAGCTAATCTAGACAGAGTTTCTAAATCACAAATCAATATTCATCAACATTGTAGAAGTAATGGAAGTAAGTACAACTGATTGTTGCAGAAGGAACAGTGAAACTGTGGTTATCACAAGTTAGTAGAATGAGACAAGATTTTTCGAATAATTTTTGGTATCGAAAATCTGTGTTTATACTAAGGCTGACATTCATTGAAACAAGAACGAGTGAAGTTGATGCAGCAGCGGATACTTCATATAAAATGCATAAGATAAAGCAAGTAGGAAGGCTTTCCATTGCTTGGAACTTCAGAGCTCTACGCCTAATTCAGTATTCTCATAATATCTAACGTTGATTGAGGTTTATTTACGTGTATTAAGAAATGCAACTCTTATACGGATGGTCAAGAGCAATACCAAAATTTCTCACGCCATGTGAGGCCTAAGAAAGTTTGAGTTGAAAATCTACTTATTTAACAGGGGTCTTTAAGTTAGAGATGACGTCCCATTTAAGATTCTGAGTTCATAGATGCTTGGGTTGTACAAAATTAACATCCCGTCACCTTTTATTATGGTAGACACTTCCAGAGGTTGAGTCAGTGTGCTTCTATTTTCACCTGAAAATGGTCATTTAGATGCATTGATAGTCTAGTGACTGCTGGTATTTGGGACTAGATTAAATGCAACAAAAACAGACTCGAAAACAGGATGTTGAACACAAAAACTGCTTTCTGTTTTGAAGATGTCACTGAACAGCAAAATGTTTGTTGCTAAGTCTTATAAATTAATTTGATTGGTCCGCGTATACATACATGCGTATACATATCATTCAAGTATACTTTACGAAAAACATTCACTTCAGTTATTTAAGCTGTTCATATGAATAACTATCGTTCCTTTAAATTTAAAACCCCAAATAGTGAATGAATATACTTCAAAAACCTAAAGTATCATACAGTGGATAAGATATACACTAAGTGAAAATTAAAAGTAAATAAATAGACGTGAATCTTATCCCACATCTTGCCAAATACAGTTGTGGATAGCCTTATTTAACTTCTAACCTTATGCATCCTCTGGGCGTAAAAGCAACTGAGTAAGCCAATATCTCTTCAGCCTAACGAGGCCTTAAACTTTTCGATCATAAAATAAATCTTGGTATTTTAAAAATTACTGTTTTCTTATAAAAAGTATGGTGAGGAAATGTGTTTTATTAATCTTTAAAATTCTGTTTGAATGATTTCTTTTATTCCAGGTGCCTTACATAAATTGGTGTTCGTTTAAATATACATGATGAAATGTTAAACATGAATAGGCGAACAGAGACGTTTTAAAATAGTCACCTCATATCACCATTTATCCTTTATGTCAAAAATAAGTGTGTCCAAAGAGGTATCCACACCGACGGGTTCTACGATTGCTCGTCAACCCCTTGGGGGATGTGAATATCCCTCCCAAAGGGCTGACTCAGGAGTAAAAAGCAGCCTCTTCTCCCATCAACCCATTTGTTCAAAAAGTAGCACAATCGCTCAGATACCAGTATGGATTTCAACAACTTCTCGCCCCACGTCAAGTGGTTTCAATGCTATGTCTCCAAGGGGAAGACGCACACTTTCCCCACCACAACCTCCACCTCTACCTCCTCCTCCTCCAAGTCCACAACTTGTGCCTTTGAAAGCTCGTTTAGCTAGATCTAAATCTACTGCTGCAAGGCCTGTAAGTAACCGTCCAGATTATGGCCAAAGACTTCGCAAGGCTAGTGATGGTGGAGCACCAACACGACTCACCAACTCAAGTTCAATCCGTCCAAGGTCTACCTCAGAAACGCGACCACAAAAAGAAAATAAAGAAAAAGTTACCGCACCCAGTACTGGTAGGTTGTCATTCAGACTGTTTACACTTGATATTACTTTATATTCTCTTACTGAGGTGAACTCGTTATGTGAGTTAATGCAGGCCTTTTTAGTGTCTGGTCATTTTTTCTGTTATGTAGACACTTTAAGACTCAATAGACTTCATAAGAGACAAATCTGAGAGCAAAAAGCGTGTTTCAGACCAGAACTAGTGTCGTTTACTAGGAATTTCACTCATGGACAGCTAATGAAATGAACATAACAACAGGAGTTCAATATCTTATATATATATATATATCTTATATACCTTATCTTTCTTGACTCCTTCGACCAAAGAATTGAAGAAATGTTTGGCTTCATATGGAATCATGAGTAAGCAAGCTACCTTAGTCAAGAAATTCTACTCAAAATCACGCGGCTACTGATGAACTTCTCGGTGTTGTCATCTGATTTGACGAGAACCAGCAGTATCCGACGGTAATACCGACTGAAACCGTTCTTATGTAGTCTTGACCTAAGTGTAATGATGGAAGTCCATGTGACTCCAAAATCATATGAAATGATTCACGACTACAAAAATATCTATTAACTTAGAGTGAGCCGACGATATATTTCTTAGATGCTGTCGAAGACTGGCTTTCTAACACTCCAAGTAAAAGCCATGCGTTTAATATCTGTCAAATGTAAGTTTGAACTAATTTGGTGATCAATCTGCTTAAATAAGTCTTTACATGGACATAGAAATTTCATTCAAATTATGCTTTCTTGCATCGTCCTTTGTGCCTAAGGGATATGTCGTTGCTTATAAAAGTATGTGTGGTGTAATTCAGTTAGTTTCATTCCACCATATGGTAAGGTAGCTAAGCACATCGACCATTTAGTAAAACGTAAATTCGGCCGGAATACGAACTGTAAAGGTGTAAAATTTGTATGACTTTCCTTTAGTTAATCTAAGGGAAAATGACTGAGGAGACATATTTAGACTGTAGACTAGAGAAGATTAGATTTCAACGCTTTGTATACAAATCTTTACAATGTAATCACTATGCACTCATAAAGAAATTACAAGAGTTTTTATAGACTATATTAAAAGTTGATATAAAGTTGTGATCATTAGATAGCACATCTTGACATTTGTGTCTAAATGCAATATTATTTGTATCGTACATAGTTTAGAGAATTTTGCCAGCAATTTTTAGGAAAACAATACATTTGGGCCAAAGGATCAAATTTGCTTAGTATCATAAATGACATCGTGGTAAATACTTATGATCACTATAAATGGTTGGAAATCACGAAAACCAACCAGTAGCACTCGTTAAAAATTGTAATGCCTTAAACATCAAGTGACTGTTTCTTTTGTTTGGGTCGCATTTATCAGCAGTGTAATTATATTCTTTCACCTCCGAGAACTCAGAACTATGGACTCCACAAATGACTGGTTGAATTCTATGCTTCATCATTTAATGAAGTAGCTAGATGGATTTCAAGTATCTTAAATGATCCTGCTTTCTGAAGCAACTTATTGCAGATACACTGATAATGAGCTAGGACCCATGTAAATCAAATGGCTGTATGGTACTCAAGCTATCCAGATTTCACCAGAGAGTACTCTTAGCTGATTTTAGTGGTTTCCAGCTACTTTTATTAATCTGTAGTACATATTGTATAACACTTGATTGTTGTTTCAAAAAACGAATTAACCCTACTTAAAGAGTTTCTAAAAATCTAAACAGTAGTACAGAATTCTCTGTAGTACGGCCTATCAATTTCATTGGTGTACAGTCTTACAAACTGGAAAAACGCTTTTCTACCTTTGCTTCAAGTTATCACACATAACATATCAGGTGTTGCATCTAAGAAGAAATCAACTGACTGTACATTCAGGAAGATAACGTTTTTTTTATATATGATATTCATTTTCAAATACAGCAGTAAATTACTCTTTAAACTTATCTTGAGTATCTTTTCGTTTATTTCAGGGGATGTGGAAACAAGCGAGACGAGTCAAAATGTCCCAGCAGCAAAACCGAGTGCTTTCCTTCCCATTGCTCACCCTACTGAACGCAGTCCTGTTTATGTTTGCCTTGCCAGTGTTGCATTTTTAAGTTTATCAGTATTAGTTACTAGTATATTTTCTACTATCTTTCTACCATTTTGCCTAATAGCTTGCCTTATACGACGTACCGGTATATGGCTTGCTAACGTCTTCCAATATACAACTTGCTGCCAGTGTGGAGGATTTATTATTTCCAAGAATACACATCCTGTAATTGAAACGATAATAACACGTTTGTCAGCTGGTATAATTTCTAGTCAAAGATGCAACTGTTATGCTGATACACAACTAGATAACCGCTGCAGTGAATCATTAAGAGCTCTTTCATCTGCTGAACTCAGATGGCTTCCAGCTCTTGAGTATAAGTATGAGCATGACTGGGATGGAAAGAATAATGCTACTTTGTATTATTCTGGTCAGTCTCCTTTAGTGCTTATCTGCCTAAGATTTGGTGCGCCTGGATTGAAATTATCAAGGCTACGTGATTTGATCAGCACCCGTTTACTTACACGACCTTCTGAATGCTCATCATTGGCATCATCTCCTAGAGGTTCTTGTTTTACAGATAAAGCATGTTCAGATGTCAGTAGAAAACGCCGTGAGAGTTCGTATATTCCTCCTTCAGATACCCGATCACGTTTAACACAATGTCTTACATTTTTATCAACGGGTTATGCATGGAGAGAATGTTTGGCATTTCAACTAGAAGAACATGTACTGCGTGTCCCTACCTCCATCTCAATAAAGTCAGAAGTCAACACAGAAAAACACTCAACGCATGCCTACGGAACAAAGTTTGATGATAAATATTCAACCCATACTAAAATGATTAATGTGGAGGTTCTTCTTAATGAATTGAGCGCTCTACCGCTAAGACTTGATCGACCACTTTGGAAGGCTCATCTGATTGAGCAGTTCTGTGAGGTGAGATAGTTATTACTATTTGTAAAATAATATTATCTAAAATATGTCTTAACATTTCATGCTTTTTCATTTAAAATATTATGTTATTTTTAAGTAAGTGATGTGAACAGAAATTTATTAACCAGCAAAATTCTTCAATTCTTTCATTGAGGACTAGTTACTAACTAGCGTTCAATCAAAGTATCCACTACAGTCCTACAGAAGGTCAATCTCGAACCGGAATAGTTCATTGGTAATGACTATGACTACAGCACTGGGTGACGTTGGTTCTAATCTCAGAAGGGACATGAGTTCCTTCAAGGGTGCAGATACGCCTTGTCGATGAGTGCCAACTAGCACGAAATCTAGGTCCAAAACCCTTCACCAATTGCCTCCAACCATCTAATATCAAGATTCTCCCTTTTTCAATAAAACTCTTCAAACCGTTTACATAAAATTATTGACAGATCGAGAGCACTAGTTTCACAAAAATGCTAGAAACGTTTTCGGTAAAAAGGATGTCATCCCTGTCAGTGTCTCTTATAAGCTAATCATTCTACTTTACATTGCAAAGTAGTGGGCGAGTACAACTGCTTTCATAAAATAAACTAATCACTCATAAATTGATATAAGTATAAAACTTGGGCACTGTGGTAGAGTATAATTCCATAATGGATAAGAATTTATTTTGATAAATCACACAGTGTAGTACAGTTATATTAACTGATGACGTTTCGAGCACAAACTATTGCTCATAATCATATCAAGAACTTGATATGATTATGAGCAATAGTTTGTGCTCGAAACGTCATCAGTTAATATAACTGTACTACACTGTGTGATTTATCAAAATAAATTCTTATCCATTATGGAATCACTCATAAATGTCATCACAAGTGAATAATTCAAATGTTGTCATTTTTAGTTAACACCTTGTAAACAGGACTACTACTACTACTCTCAAGTCTGTGTGGAGGTCAACAACACTCAGCATCAAAAATAAGATCCGGATTTTCAACTCCAATGTGAAGTCAGTGCTACTATACAGATCAGAGACTTGGCGCGTCATAAAAAGCATCTCAAACAAACTACAAACCTTCATTAACAGTTGTCTTCGCTCAATACTCAAGATCATATGGCCAGCCAGCAAAGATCAGCAATAGGGATCTTTGGGAGCGAACCAACCAGGAACCGATTGTGAAACAAATAGGCAGGAAGAAATGGAGATGGATTGGCCACACTCTGAGGAAACCATCAAGTGACATCACTAGACAAGCCATTGCTCGAGTGGAACCCGAAAGGGAAGCGGCGAGTTGGTCGTCAGTGCAAGGGTGACTTGGAGGAGGTCATGTGAAGAGGAGATGAAAACGTGTGGGCACACTTGGAGGTAGGTGAAGACTCTAGCAGAGAACCGAACGCAATGGAGACGCACGGCTGAAGCCCTATGTTTCTCTAGGAACTAAAGGAAATAATAATAATAATAAACAGGACTATGCAATAGGAAGACGAAAACCTTAAAATCGGCAGCAAATATCACTTAAAACTCGAAATAGACTATATTTCTTTTCTCACTGTTGTTCGTTCTTCATGGCTATATGTAACATACTTTCAAAAGATTCATGAATAAATGCAAATATACAAAGACTATACTATAGCTTCGTATAGCTTTTCAAGAATATGATGACTAGCATTATTCTACGTGTAACAATCAGACAACATAAAAAGGTTTTATACAAATATTGACAGGGTTTAAAGCGTTCCGAAAAACTTCAAAATAGGAAAAATACGTTGAGAATATCTTTTTTTTCCGTAGATTTTGAACTTGTTAAATGCAAGCTGTAATCATGATTAGTACTTTTTAAAATAATAATATATTTTAACACAGGTGAGACATTTAAGTCCGTATATGTTTCTCGTACTATACAATTTGTGAGATGTTACTGTTGAGGCTGAATAGGTTGACAGATGATCTTCTGTGGTGAAAAACTTACGCTAGTTGAAGTAACTGTAGTGTGTTGCGCATTTTCAGTCGCAGGTGTCTCCTTATCCTATTTTGCTTTGATCAGAATAAATATCAGGAAGACGTTGCATTATATGTCCTTAAAATGAAAACATTTCTAATTTTATTAATAAAAGGAATTCGCCACTAGATTCATCCATCTGCAGCGATCCGAATTAGAGAAAACTTGCAAATATGAAACAAAATAGATCCTATTGATGAAGTTATGTATCTGCTCTGTCTTATCTATGCCTTTTGTGCAATCATCTCCTCCCCCTTTTTTCGGATAATCTTTGCTTTTGATCTATCATGTACTTGTCTTGTTGTCCAAGATTATGATAGCACTAGGTGATAGAATGCTTTGACCAGTTGAATTTAATTTTGCCTGGATGTATGCAGATGTACTGATTTATTGTACCTGATCTCTTTTTATCCCAGATGATACCACTCACGAATAGCTTTCTTTTAGCTGAACTTTTCGGTCTCACACCAACATCAGCTTTATTTTCACTGAATAAAATAGAGGTGAAACTTATTAATCACAAAATCAAAGCAACCAACTTCTGCAGTTATGCAAAACATTGGTTTTGTTCAAAATAAATTAACCTTGGACTAGTAATTAAAGCCTACATATTTCCTCTTAAATTTACTTCAGTGAGTTTTAATTTACAGTTTGCTATTTAAACTGGTAATTTGTAAACTACACAGCTTGGGTTTTCCTCTGGAGACTGAAGTTATTTAAATCACAATATACGATCTGCGTTAGTGGCACAGCGGTTAGGACGCTCGCTTACCATGCATATAGTCCGGGGTTCGATCCCTAGCCGAACGCACACCCGATCTCAATGATCGGCCTGCAAAATTTGGACTACCGATATCACATGCTGAGAATTCCATACTTGTATCAAAAATACTGTGTGGAGTGTAACTAAGATAAAAAAAAGAAAATTATCATAATTGCTAATCACGAAATCAAGCATAAAAGCACGGTGATATATACTACTGATTGATTGATATAAGTAGTTGGATTAGTTGTTTTGTAATAATAAAAACTAAGATGGCTTTGTTTACTACTCAAAACATTAGCTACAGAATAGTAATAATAATGATCTGCTTTATTCTAAAACAACAATTATGATAGTGTGGAAATCTCAGCATTTGATACAATATTGTATCTACTTTACTCAACAACAACGACAAAAAACATTACGGGATATAGGTAACCAAAATTGATCTTAGCAATTTTTTGGCATTAACAGTAACAATAAAGTCAAAAATATACAAAAAGTATAAAATGGTAATAATAATATTAATAAATAAAATTGCAAGACAACTGAGATGATGTCACCGTAAATCACAAATAGAAGATCAAAGGGCTAGTTATTTTGTGAGTTTTGAGGTTCACGCTTAACCCCATCTGTATCATACGGAACGCGGGTGAGATAAGAGATCGTTGAGTTTTTGTACTAAATTATGCGACCATATAATCTTTTACCATGACTTTCTGTCCTACCTGATGAGATGCGAAAGGAGATTTGTGGATAAAGAGGGTATTTAGAGTCAGACAATTCAGATTTAGACCATTTCTCACATGAGTTCAGGTGTCTGTCGTCTACAGTACAGTAGTAACGAGCTGGTTTAACCACACACCGCTTGTCCTACTGACAACCTTTAATGCCCTGTGCATTTTGACACATCCCTTTTTGAATAGCCGAGGAAAGACTAAGGGGGAGTAGTAAAGTACAATAGGTAAGGTGCGACAGTTAACAAACTGTAAAACTAAAGGTTGAGTGATTCCTGATCATCTTAACCTTTTAACGCAGTTGGTTAGAAGGCAATTTTATCTAGAAATAGATAAGATATGGGACGAGTAAGAAGCATTAGAGAACAAAACTATCCCAAGGTATTTTATGCTTGATCGAGTTTCTATCTCAGTTCCCTCCAAGCTACAAACATCTTGTGAACGAACAAGTTTGTCTGGATCACGTTTATGCCTGAAGGTGAAGTAAACTGTCTGATATTTCGAGGGATTCAATGTAAGATCATTAGGCTCAGATCACTAGCTCATGTCCGATAAGAAGCCGTTAGGTTTGGAGCAGTAAGCTCAGGACCTAACTGGCAACGAGATAGTTAGATGGTCAGCATATTCAATGAAGTTGATTTCGTACGAAAGAGCCAAGTCAAGTAGGAAGAAAGAGAATAGAAGAGTAGAGAGAACAGTCCCTTTAGGGACACAATCTCCAGTAAGTAAGGTTGAGGAAGAGTTTTCTTTGCATACAATATACTGCAACTAGTTAACAGTCCAGGACTCAGTTTTCATCTTGGAAAGCTTATTTAACAGAAGGTATCTGGGAACAGAGTCATAAGTGGATGTGTAGTCAAGGTACCTAAATCGAACATATTTGACCCCTTTGTCTAAACAGAAAACAGTCTTATGATGTAAGATAGGAGCACTTAAGGTAAATCTACCCTGTTTATATGCATACTGTTTAGGGTCATTAAAACGTTTTAACGAAGGTTCAAGGTTGAGTAAAAGTAATTTTTCCATTAATCATAAAAAAGGAGAAGTAATTGCAATAGGTCTGAATTTAACATTTCCACCAGTACATGACTTAGTTAACGGTATAGTTTCAATGTCTTACCATGCTGTGGGTACAGCATTACTGGAAAAATAAGATTTGAGAATATTCGTGGTAGGATAACATAAAATATCCTCACATCTTCTGAGAACAGCAGGCACACTATCAAGACTAAGGCTTTGGAAAGGTTTTAGAGATTTAAGACATTTAAGAACATCAAGATTATTGAAATTACGAAGGTTACTAACCTTATGATTTGTATCATTAGGAATGAAACCGTCAGCAGGAGAGCGTATGAAAGACCTGTTAAGAATATTTACATCAAAAGATGAAATGGTGATAAATAGAAAACATCCTGAAGTTAACTCTAATATTTTCTTAGTCACTGTAAGTTTCCTCCACGGACACATGAAGCCAATCTATTGGTATCCTAACAAACAACC